GTCACAGGATTTCACAACAAATAAGCCTGGGTCAGGGGGCTAAGACTGGCCTCCGGTAACAGACTGCTATAAAAACTGCAACTCCTCCACATGATGAGAGAGAAAGTGGATTTTCCAGCTTAAAAGAAGATTCATCTCTGCCTGGGGCATTATGCTGTGTTCAAAGAGATTAATAATAAGATGCTATTGATACGCAGCTGTGCCGCTCTGGGATCAGCGCTGATCACTGACATCCTCAAGCTTTTAGCGCATGGAAACATGGCCTCTATATTGAAGACATATTTTTCCTGATGTTTGGGGATTTAATGGTTAAACTTGATCAGTGATGCAGGAGTTCAGCTGCAGGGTTTCAATATTAAATGCTTTCGAACAGAGCAATAGCTGTACACATAGAAAATTGTATCGGAAGAAACATGGGCGGTTCAAGACGGGGGCCAATGCCCCTGCAGAACTGGTCCTGGCCCCTCTACTAACACATAATACTAAATAACACATAATACTAAATAAATGTATTAGAATGATATGCAATGACAAACCCACCTTAACAAATTGGTCCCCTGCACCTGTTTCTTTTTTTAACCCTTTAAAGCCTGGAGCATGAAATAATTGACAGAAATTTCTTTTTTATTTTATTTAGAGTTGTCATTTAACTCTGAGAAATGAAAGAAAAATAATATATACACTCACCGGCCACTTTATTAGGTACCCCATGCTAGTAACGGGTTGGACCCCCTTTTGCCTTCAGAACTGCCTCAATTCTTGGTGGCATAGATTCAACAAGGTGCTGGAAGCATTCCTCAGGGAGTTTGGTCCATATTGACATGATGGCATCACACAGTTGCCGCAGATTTGTCGGCTGCACATCCATGATGCGAATCTCCCGTTCCACCACATCCCAAAGATGCTCTATTGGATTGAGATCTGGTGACTGTGGAGGCCATTTGAGTACAGTGAACTCATTGTCATGTTCAAGAAACCAGTCTGGGATGATTCCAGCTTTATGACATGGCGCATTATCCTGCTGAAAGTAGCCATCAGAAGTTGGGTACATTTTGGTCATAAAGGGATGGACATGGTCAGCAACAATACTCAGGTAGGCTGTGGCGTTGCAACGATACTCAATTGGTAGCAAGGGGCCCAAAGAGTGCCAGGAAAATATTCCCCACACCATGACACCACCACCACCAGCCTGAACCGTTGATACAAGGCAGGATGGATCCATGCTTTCATGTAGTAGATGCCAAATTCTGACCCTACCATCCGAATGTCGCAGCAGAAATCGAGACTCATCAGACCAGGCAACGTTTTTCCAATCTTCTATTGTCCAATTTCAATGAGTTTGTGCAAATTGTAGCCTCAGTTTCCTGTTCTTAGCTGAAAGGAGTGGCACCCGGTGTGGTCTTCTGCTGCTGTAGCCCATCTGCCTCAAAGTTCGACGTACTGTGCGTTCAGAGATGCTCTTCTGCCCACCTTGGTTGTAACGGGTGGTTATTTGAGTCACTGTTGCCCTTCTATCAGCTCGAACCGGTCTGGCCATTCTCCTCTGACCTCTGGCATCAACAAGGCATTTCCGCCCACAGAACTGCCGCTCACTGGATGTTTTTTCTTTTTCGGACCATTCTCTGTAAACCCTAGAGATGGTTGTGCGTGAAAATCCCAGTAGATCAGCAGTTTCTGAAATACTCAGACCAGCCCTTCTGGCACCAACAATCATGCCACGTTCAAAGTCACTCAAATCACCTTTCTTCCCCATACTGATGCTCGCTTTGAACTGCAGGAGATTGTCTTGACCATTTCTACATGCCTAAATGCACTGAGTTGCCGCCATGTGATTGGCTGCTTAGAAATTAAGTGTTAACGAGCAGTTGGACAGGTGTACCTAATAAAGTGGCCGGTGAGTGTATATTAATTTTGTATAAGTTAAATTAAATCCTTTATTTGCATCAATTTTGATACATTCAGCCTTTCTGTAGAATATTATATACGTTTTCTGCTCACTACATGTGTCTGATTATGTAAGTCAGGGTTTTTAAGATAAGCAAGATCACAATGATGATGCAAATATCTCAAAAGCTCATGTATCAAAAATTATACAATTGATTTTAAAGGGTTAACCTTTACATTTTTGTTTTAACCATGATTTTATCAGTTTTAATCAAGTTCTAATTCTGAATTCATAAAAAAATATCATTTTTATCTAAATAAAGTCAAAAACGTGTTGGTAATTAATCATGAATGAACATTGACATAATATTCCAAATAATATATGTATTTCATCTTTATTCTTTATTATAAAGACTTTAAACATAAGATTTTTGCGGGGCCAAATTTAAAACCTTTATTTATCTTCATTCACTTAAAAAGTAAAAAGTATAGTTATTAGGTATAGTTAAAGCTCCACTTTTTAACTGAGGCCGTTCACTGATAGCATCAGGGCCAAAATAAATTAAAATTATGAATTAAGACTGAAAGAAGCTTCACTGTCACTTTAAAACGGTTGTTTATTATCTTTTACATCTAAACGTTTACATTTTGACGCAGATATTTTTGATTTATGCCTCAATTTGAAGCTGTTATTCCACGCGACAACGCAAGAGGGACAATCAGGAACTAGCTGTGGGTCTAGATACAGCCGAGGAGGTGGAAAAACGCAAGGGGCAAGTTTGTGCGACAACGGAGGGAGTTGAGGGCGAAAAAGAGCAGAGATCCAGGTGCTCGCTCTTCTAACTGGTCCATCTTCACGAGCCATTTTCCACAATGGCGGTCATACAAAAAAAAAAAAACAAGCCTTTAAGGTACCAAACAGGAAATACGCATAGTGTAGATTGGATGTAGATTTGACCAATCAGAGGCCTCCTGTCTGAGGTCACCTACAGTTTAGAGCGGTGCAGCAGAGTGTCTGCGGAGGGGGCGGGGCATATCTGCGTTAACTGCAACACACATGCAGACGACCTGGTTTCTGAGTATAAATCAGCCTCAACTGGTTTTGATTTCATGTTAGCTTCTGTTAATCTATTAGCTCTAGCTAATATGGTAAACAGTAGATCACAAACTGATCACATGTTGTTTCAGCAATTAGCTCATATAACAGCTCATGAAAACATCCCAGCATGCGTTGCACAGGTGAAAAAAAATGGCGACCTCCTTGAAAGAAAGATTTAACAAAGAAATTTTAAAGTTAAAAGGAAAATTGCAACATGTTTAGGCCATGTTCAACCAGTCATGGCTCCCTTTAACTCTAATAAACGGCAGCATTAAAGTAAATGTTAGATTAAATTATTGTTCTTGAGGCCCGGTGTTCTGCACTTGGATAAATCAATATCTAGATAAGTCATTTTTTTCTTAAAATAAGTGTGTTTTTTCTTGAATTGAGAAGGTAAGTGAGACACTTTGCCAATGGAACGAGACAATTTACATTTAAAATAAGAAAAAAACTATTTCATTGTCTTATTTCAAGTGTATATTAACTTATTACATTATTTTAAGAGTAAAAATTCTCATTCCATTGGCAAATCATCTTATCAAACTACTCAAATCAAAGGTAAATACACTTAATTTAAGACATTTTGACTTATTTCTAGATCGTTTTTGCAGTGTGCACCTTTTAGATGCATCTTTACTTCACTCACTCAAATTTCTGAATTACCTCCTCAGTATGCAGCCAACTGCTAATGACCTGATTATTTGACCCTAATGGATTCTCACCTTTTCCCCCAACAAATGTTTATGAAAATATAACTTTTTCTTACACAATAATGCTCTAAATAAAGTCATTTCTTGTTCCCGGATTTTGTTCATTTATTGAAGCCTCACTGATATTTTCTGACTCCAGATTTATGTTCTTCACAGCCGTCATCAAAGTGGGGAAATCCCACGCTGTACTTTGATGAGCCTGACACAGTTTTAACTCTCCTCTCATTACAGAGATAATTAACGGTTTAATTAGCAGCAATTCTCGACTACTGAGAGCGTCTCAGAGACGGAACCAGGATGCAAAATTACATACAGGTTCGTTTCAGTCCAGGTTTGTGTAGATCAGCTAGTTTGTGCTTTAATTGTCCACCAACTTTTCCCTGCTGATGTCGACTACTACACCTCGCCAGAGGACGAACGGCTCCAATATGTGCAATGCAAACAATTTAACTAAATTTAATTTAATTCTCATCACCTTGAAGCAAAGTAATCATCTTCTATGTTGTAGGGAAAAAAAGCCATCATTAAAAATAAAGTAATTATCTCTCTTGCTTTTTTTTTCCCTCCACGCTGTTCAGAATGAAGATTTCCTGGAGTCTGAAAGGGGCTTTCAGACGAGCTGAGTTTCTGTGGAAGCAAACGCTTTAGATCCAAGAAGATCAAAGCTGCAGCGACTGGAATCTGTGGATTTTAGACGAGTTTAAAGATGCTGAAGGGAGCTGAGCGCACAATGAGCAGCAAGTGTAGGCTTGAGAAAAAACAAACGCGTGGCTCTTGTTTGGGCTGAGAGACAAAAGCGCGTCTTCCAACATGGGTGAGGGCCAGCAGCAAAGTCTCTGTTTCAAACTTGCAGTTTACGGCCGCTCAAAACAGTTTACAGCAGCCAAATTTCATTTTCTGCTCCCAAATCCGATCGCACATTATCCTGTACATTGCATTAGCGCTCTAATCTCCCCTTTCTCTTCCTGCGCAGAAGAAAGAAGCGCCTTCATGATTAACCCACTTTACAGCAATAAATAAACGCATCATCCAGTAATATACACCAGATTTAATTTGAAAGGAAGGGGGGGGGGGGAAAGGGCCAGAGCGCTCAAATCACTGAAATGTAATGAAAAATAACACAATGCAGACACCAGTGGGCGCCTTAGGAATTAATTTGAATGCTCCCTCATTTCACCCCCCCCTCTCTGCTGCACTCTGGATTGGTTTTCTCTCAGCCGGCTGCCTGACATTCCCCCCCCCAACATCACTTGCATTAATGCCTTCAAAACATGCAAGAAGAATAAAAAGAAACACGACCAGTCTACTTAAAGAAAAAACAAAAAACAAATTTTAATCAAATTAATTTAAGAGAAAAAAAGCTTTGCTCATTTTCCCTCCATTTTCATCACATGAAGCCCATATTGCTCTTGGTTTCCCATCGCTGCTTCGCCTCAAACCTACGAAACACAAAAACAAAAACATTAAACAAATCAGTATTTTAGCTGCAAACTTAATTCCTGTATGAGGAGACGTTCAGGCCTGTGAAGCTCCTCCATCTTCACACAGAGCGTCACACGGCGAGATGTGACGACAGACAGAGACGGGAGACAAGACGTCGTACCCCCAGGCTATCTGCTTCTTCCTCTTCTTTGCTGCCCTCAGAGCTTCCTCTTCCTGTTTGCTCTGCACAAAGTCACGGCAATCCGCGGCCTGAGCGATTTGCACAGCCATCTATTTAGAGACGGACAGAAGAGGCGGAGAGGAGAGAATGGAAATGAGTCGGTGGCGACAAAAACAGAAACTTTCCGATGATCTGAGAGGGTGGCATCTTGTAAAGCGGCCCCTGAGCTGATGCCGCCTCCTTTATATCACAATTTAACCTTTTCTAATAATGAAAAAGCAACACTTTCCTTTAACAAGATGATCTGTGACATTACTGATGGTTTTGTACAATACAGCTTGTAGGGAATTAGCCGAAGCTGCTTTTATTGTGACATTTATATTATATCTTCAAGTAAAAAATAAACATGCAAGAGAAAAAAAATTAAATAAAAACTACAGTAGTCTGTTCTCACAGGGAACCCATGATCTCATACCTACTGAGTTTACATCTGTATCAGAAATAAAGTTTAACTGTTCTTTCCTCACTGCAAAAATGATCTAGGAATAAGTAAAAATCTCTTAAATTGTGTATTTAACATTAATTTGAGTAGGTTAATAAGATGATTTCCCAATGGAATGAGTATTTTTACTCTAACAATTAGATAATTAGATAATATGCGGTTGAAATAAGATAATGTAATTGTTTCTACGTAATTTGAACTAGGGATGCACGATATTGGGATTTTGGCCGATATCCGATATGCCGATATTTTAAAACTCATGTAGCCGATAACCGATATCGATAGCGATGTTAAAGCTGGACAAAAATAAGTAGAAATGAAAATAGCAGTTTTGTTATCCATTTCTGACACTTTGAAAAATAATATACTCAAATATATTTTCATATGCTGATATCAAATAGATTTTTAAAAACGCGGTATCGACCTATTTTACTTTCAAAATCTTGTGAAATTTCATCGTTCTGTTACAACCTCTCATGATATTTTGCAAATTCTTGTGAGATTTTGTCAGTAACATAGATCCATACTGCGTCAATATATCAACATTTAAAAATATGGCAAGATTTCGTGAATTTTCGGGGGATTTCGTAGCATAACGATGACATATAGCAATATTTCATTAGTAAAAGAGATTGATATGGTGTTTTTAAATGGCAATATATCAGCATATGAAGATATTGTGATATTTTAATGTATCAATATTTTTTCCCTCATCTTTAGAAGTTTTTAAGTCTGTAAAAAAGAAGCTTTTGAGGAAGAAAAAGAAGTATTATATATTTTTTTTTTTTTAGACTTTAGAAACTCAGAAGCTGATCAAATATCGGGTTAAATATCGGTGGGGTGGCCGATACTGATAGGGGGCCGATTATATCGTGCATCCCTAATTTAAATGTAAATTGTCTTGTTCCTTTGTAACGTACCTCACTTACCTCCTAAATTCTATAAAAAATGTAGTTATTTTAAGAAAAAAATGACTTATTTAGATTTCCTTTTTTTGCAGTGGCTGAGATGATTCTTAAATTGCATTTTATATATAAAACCAGATGTTGCTGGAATGTTAGAAAGATTCAATATTTTTAAAGGTATTGGTCAGAAGCAGCACATTTCTTCCAAGGGTTTGGAGGAGGAAAACTTAAGGAGGAAAATCATCAAACGAAAACTGGACTTTTGGAAAAATGATTTGCAAAAGTGCAAATTAAAAAAATTAATTAAAATGTTTAAAAAGCACAGCATAACCACAGTGAAACATGGTGGTGGCACCATCATGCTTTAGGCAAAACAGTTTTAATTCCAAAACTTACAGTTGTTTTGTTTGAAAGCTAAAGAAAGAGAGAGGTTTTGTTTTTAGCAGTATTTAATGACCAGTCTAATTCCTTTATTTTATTTATTTACATAATAGTGACTTCTCCAAAGGTTCAAGTAAATCTGACTGAGTGGGAGAATTCGGAAGAAACTCTCAGTTTAATCAGTTTAAATGTTAAATGTTCTCATTTTTAAAATAATGAAAGCTTAGCTGAACCCTGGTGAAAATGTTTTCCATGTTTTTATGATGTTAAAATAAAAATGACTTTTGGTGAACCTCAACAATGCTAGTCGTTTTACAATTATTTTAAAATAGGCATTTAAAGAGTGGCAGCAAGCAGCTGGTCTTTTGTTTATTAGCCAATTATTCGCTGCTATCAGAACTAAAGATGGCATCTAGAAGATCTACAGATAAGGATTTCCAAATTCCACATGGAATCAGGACAGCATCACATAACCTCCAAAATTCAGGTTAAAATACTACAAACTGATTAAAACTGAACTTAACAGTTTGAAAATTGTTTCAGATTTATGGAAACCTTATTCTACTTGTGAAAAGGCAAAGATATATATTGTTTTTATTCTTTTTGTTGATAAGTAGAACAACTCTAAAAAGACAAGCAGAAATATTCTAATATATGGATGTCCTGATACTTTTCCTGTTAAATCCTAAACCGATATCACAGCTCTGAGTCCGGACCGATACCGATATCCACCCGATACGTTTAGTGTTGCGCTGATGCCATTTTTTGGCCCTGATAGAGATACCTGGCTGTGCAGTATCGGCCGATACCAATACCATCTGTTTGAAATTGAACTACATACTACTTGGATGTAAAATAATTGCCATCATGGCTTTGTCAAGCTGCTGCCTACTAGAGACTGACATTTTTTCAGGAATCCCACGGGTCACGGGATTCCCGTGGGATGGGAGTCAGTATTAGTAACGATCACATGATTGGGACGGTACAGGATTAAACATTAACGGGAGCAGACGGGAGCGGGAGCAAACCAATAGTAACTTAAAAAAAACTAGGATTGATGCCAAAAAATTAAATAAAATAGAAAGAAAAATCCAGTACCGGCGCCGCCATTTTGTAGTTTTTTTCCTTGAAGCCTACACTATAATGCGAGTCAAAAAAAACTACACGACCCAAAAACCAACAGTGCTTCCGCTCTGAATTTTTCACCCGCGCTCAAAAACAACTCGACTTTGAAAAGTTTGATTTGCAACGCAAGCTGAATGGGAGTGGTGCAGGAGCGGGAGTCATTCTGAATGGGAGCGGGATGGGAGTGGGAGTAATTTCACCAGGAGTGGGACGGGACAGGATTTTTTTTCTGTGGGAGTGGGACGGGACAGGAGTGAAAAATCCACTCCCGTGTCAGTCTCTACTGCCTACCTTTGTGAAGCAGGAAAAATACTAATATAAAGTGAATCCAGTAGAACTTTTTATTGCCTACCAGGAGTGGGGGACAAAAGTTTAATAAACTTTCGGCTCTCAAAATGGTATCGGTGCTCTATTTGTCGGCACTCGCCGATACCAATACCACCATTTTAGTGCTGGATCGGGGCCCCGCTCGATACTGGTATCTGTGCAACACTAGACACGATGCATCAATCACCCATAATTTCATTGCTTTTTCTGTCAATACTGACAGAGGTATCATTAAGAAATGAGTTTTGTCAACATTAAACTTAAAAATGAGATGAATGAAATAATCAATTAGAAGATGGGACACACAGCAACCCCTGATGATTTAGATCTCTGTTGATATTTTTGCTTTTTCTAACAATGTTTATGTCTAACATGATGTCTTTCCTCATATGGTTAATTCGTTCGACAGTATTATTGCATCAGTATTGTATATGTGGCAAAAAGCTCAGCCGCTGTATCATATCGGACTAGATCAGATAGAATGGATCGCTGCATCTCTACCAAAACCTACAACCAAAGCCTCACCTATATAGAGCTGTATGAGCATCATGGCGGCTGTGAATGACGGAGTTAGGGGCTAAAAAATGTGCAAAAGATAAAAAAAAGGTTTCATTTAAACATGAAAAAAACTAAATGTTGACTATGTTACATTAGACGGTTTACTGCAATATTCTTCTTTTAACTTCGTTTCTATCAAAAGTACAATTCGTGTTGAAATTATCAAAAACAAAAGAAAATTTCCCATATTTTTAAAGGTTTTAGGTGATAGTTTCACAAATAATTGAGAGGGAGGAACCGCACAAATGGATCTTAACAGGTATTAATCTGAAAATATTCTGATAGCCCTAAATAAAACCCATTGTAAACAACTGCCTTCAAGGGTAAATGCATTTTTAACTAGAGCTCAGATGTAGATTTTTCAATCTTCTTATGATTGTGCTAGGCCTTGTGGGTTTGTTAGAGGACATTAGTGATGAAACACCACCACAAATGAAGTTGTGGAGAAATTTAAAGCTAATCAAACAAGGTAAGGCTGGAAACAATATCCCAGGATATAAAGATCTCAGGAAGCTAACATAAAGCAGAGACATGAAGATGGAGAGGATGGAGCACCTACAAAGACATGGGGGTCCACCTTAACTGAGAGACTGAGGAACTTTTAAGAGAGCAGCAGCGTAGGGGCCAATGGTAACTCTGGAGGAGCTGCACAGATTTGGAGTTTGGCATGAGCCTTTGCGGAGCAGCACAGATGTTCAAAAACACGCTCTGCTCAGATGAAGACAAAGATTAAACCTTTCAGCCAAATGCAAAACGTTGGTAAGATGCAAAAACATCCAACTCTCAGGTATGATGTGCAAATTATAGCTACAGTAGTAGCAATTCAAAATTTCCCCACTTTCCTTGATGGGTCCTTGGTTGGTCCCCTACAATTCCTTTTTTTAAACATCAATCTTTGCACTAAAATATTCTTTCTGTGGTGATTTGTGGACATTAAGATCTAAAGAAAAGCACCATCTCCTGATCAGACCCTGTAATTCAGTGAAAGGGTGGAGTAAAATAAATGCACACCCAGGAGAGGGCCAATGGCTGGAAGTTGGAGGCGATTTTGCTGGGAGTCCCTGAGTCAGTAGGCTGGCGATTGACTGGGGAGGGCCATTTTGAATGGCTGCTACTGTATGAATTGGGTGAAGACATGACACAGACACATAATACGGTACCAAATGTTAGGCTGGAGCATATGGAAGCAAATCATTACCATATTTCAAATGAAAAAGCATTTCTGGAAATGCTTTTTCATTTTCAAATTTTACATTTCAAATTTAATTTTGGTATGTATTTGCTGGGGTGCATTTTGAAAAATAAATCTCAA